ACCTAGGTGATGCATGTTACATTTTCGATTTAAGATCTAGAGTGTGTTCTGCTTAATTCCATGGTATATTCCTGGTACAGTTCGACTCAATTCTGTGTTGTAATGCGTTGTTGTCATTGATCTTCAGTGGAAATGGAATCCTTGAAGAGGGATAAAGGCATAATCATAGGACCAACTACGAACAACATGGATGGCTATTTAGTTGGTTGGTTAAACGTCGACCGAGAACTCTGAAGACTCAGCGAAACAGGCCACCTGGTGGTGGGATTAAAGTTATCTTTGCATTTGTACATTGCTATTATCTCGACCGTACGATTATCTTTTTTATTCGCCAATTTAACCACATACTTATGCATCTTCGTAGCTCGAGTACTGCCATGGACTCGGGATTAGTATGCTGGCTGGTAAGCTCCTTAAGTATTGCATACTGGTGTAGTTTTGTTCCTATACGCATCGACTGAGTACGCAATATAAACAATAATGCAATGTTAAAATGGATGTTAAAATGTAAAATCCGTTCTCAAATATATGTCCATCAGAAATTCTTCAGCACTAGAATAACATATGTACAGGAGTAGAGTTTTGAGTCGTTCAAAGATAGAACGGTTTCTTCTTTTTCATTCATCCTTGCCAACCTTAATGGTGGAGTCAGGGATGTCATCTGAGATGAACGATCTACAAGTCGGTGTTATCTTGCCAGCATCGTCAACATTGGGAGCTAAATGCACCATAGGACAGAAGAACACGTGGAGATTGAACATCAATTGTGGGTTTTGCTAGTTAACGTCGGCTTATCAAACAAATCATCGCCCTCAATAATGATAGGTATGTGATCTCAAGCCAAATTAAAGAACAGTGATTGCACCTGGAGATATAAACACATCAGTTGTCTTGGTATCCAGACTCAAAAAGTATAGTTCACTCAATTAACTGTACACAGTAAACGACCTCATTGAGGCCATACCGACCATGTTCACTTACATTAGTACAAATGTTAACGCATTACCAAAGTTATGACCTTGATGGCGTATTGGATTATCTCTTTGGAACTGCCATGTAGTGAGATTTGATTTTTAACAGTCGAAACATTCATCAATGACCTTTTACTCTTCTGCCCAAGACTAACTCACAACACGAATGTCATGAGATCCTCATATAATTCGCATGCACTTCGACTGTCGACTCCCCCACCATCCTCAATTGTGGGCCGCCATATCAACGGAAGCAAGTTTGTTGAGGACATCCCGAAAATTATGACGTAACTTCTTAGGAGTCAAATATCCGCAGTAAGTCACGTTAAACTACGCTGTAGCGCTTAAATCTCAGATCTGACACAATTTTAATTGACCTCTTAGAAAGTGCCAACTTCTGGGTTTCAACTTTACAAGTTCTATTGATTATTGATTACACACATTTACACTTGACAATCTGTTTTACCATGGACTCTGAAATTTTTAGATGTTCAGGAATTCCTTTTTTTTTCTTCATTATCTTGAAGTGGTTACAAGTTGTAAGTTGCCGTTATTTCTCCACCTTACTGCAAAGCTGCTTAAGTTGCACATCCGACACGCCAGTTTTACGAAGTTAAGATCATAGGCTTCATCACTTTCAAAGTCATAATAATTATGCTGCAGTCGATATGGCCTAGCAGGAATAGAATATTGTAGGCCTTCAAGACTTTTATTGTGCAAGGCGGAGAAAGCAATATTCTGCTTCTTTACAATAAGGCTGGACGCTGTATATGATTGGGTTGAAGAAAGTTGTCGATGACTAGGAAGGACTAAACTTCATACATCACGTTTTGAACAGTACAGGTTGGAACCAATTTCCAGAGAGGACACAAAGATGATGCTGCCCTCCATCCCCCTAAGCGAAGTCTTGTGGGTATGGGTTAATAACTCTTTCAGTTAATGCCAAAACGGAGAATCCTAAGCCCAATACCATGCGCAATAATATAAGGATGTGAATTCTCAGCTTAAATACTTTGTCAAATGGTTCGTATTACATTTGAGAAGGCCTTATGGATCTATGTTAATTCGCTAGACAATGCAGCTCTTTTTCTTCTCTCTGATCTTCCAAAGAGGTGGGTTAAGAAGTTAAACCATACGTCCGTTGACGAAAGAACCTCACGGCAGTATAATTTATGAACAGTGTGATTTGCAACTTGCAAGAAGTTCTCGTAAAATATGTGCACACATACAACTTTCATCTGTCTATCTAGAAGAACACGAGTCGTAAATATAAATTACTACAGATGATTTCTGGTGAAGAGAATGTATTCGTCCTTGAATCCCGTGCACATGCTCGTAGTCAGCTACCTGTTAGCCGTCATGGGTGTATATAGATGCCACGTACTACAGTTTTTCAAGCGTGTAAATCGAACGATAACGATTATGGGGAGGCAATTTATTTATCAACGGTACAAATGTTTTCACGAACAAAGGATTCACAGCACTGAAAAATCTAGACAAATTTTGGTAAGCTTACGGGTGCCATTGACTTCTGTTTAGCTAGTGTCAGTGGAGCCATATATGTCTATGACCTGTCTCGTACAGTTTTGGTCAACCAAGTTTAGGTACCTTGCCAACATCAGGTGGACCTTGAACGCACCTCTAAAGTATATTCCACCGCTCGTTACCCTGGCCAATATGTTGGTCACTGTGCATATTAGCTTACATTACATTGCATAGAGTGATCTTGATGTTGTGTCATGCACCATTAATCTGCGCCTCAATGTTCACAATTCTTTTTCTTCTTTTTTTGCATCAGCAAAGGTTGTAGGAAATTATACCACATTTGAATGTCTCGTCCAGCAACAAACTGAATGACTGTGCATGATGCACGCTGTACATATTTGTTCCCACAAAGATTTCTTTTTGAACACTCGGGTCGTGTAAATGTTAAAACTCGTTTCTCCTCCCTTTACAAAAGGGTACTATAGCGAACGCACTAGGTGCATACGTACATACATCAAAGGCTCTGTATTTAAAGAGATATATATATAAAAACCAACGGAAATCTCCAAATCGTCCCCCCCCCAACTTCCTGAAGACAGTGACTTTTAACATACAATTTTTAAGCATATACACATCACACATCAGCATAGAGAAAATGGTTACTATCGTTCAACTACCACCAATCTCACAACTAATTACAGCTACACCACCACCTCCTCCTCCACATCGTAATTCAGCACCCGCGCTTGGTTCCTCTAGACTTTCATCAACAACGTCAACAACGCCAAACTCCCTTCCACAGTCACCAACAGTGTCACCAGCTCATCATCTTCCAACACTATTTACAGAACTCAAGTCTACAGCTCAATTCAGTGGGGAAAAAGAGTTGTATACACACTCGGTACATCCACAGTTTGAGCCTCAAACCGTTTACGGTGCTCCAATACCGCAGCCTCAAATCCAGATACCACAACAGCCAACTTTCCAAGAAATACAGTACGTTCAACAACCGCGTACCCAATCCACTCCTCCACACCTTCCTGCCTATGCTCAACTCTCAACCCCAGTACTATACGTTACCTCACAGGGCGCACCAATGTTACCCGATTACTATCATCAACAGATGTATCAAGCAGCGGTTCCACCAAGTGTGAATGTCCAAGATCTCAACATGCGTCCAAAGAGGGCCATCAAGAGAAGAACTAGAACTGGCTGCCTCACATGTCGCCGTAGAAGAATCAAATGTGATGAACGCAAACCGGGTTGTCGCAACTGTGAAAAGAGCAGAATCTGTTGTGCTGGATATCAACGTGTCAAGCCAACAAAGCAAGAGATCAAGAAAATCACCAGACAGATGAGTGTCAACACCATCTTGTCATGAATATAAACGGATTACTTATCTCGTCAACAGGTTGATGATTCTACGTTTTGGTATTTTTTTTTCTTTCTTTTCTTTTTTTTTAAGAATGTTTGGGGTTTTAGTTGGAAGGGCGCTGGCGTTTTATTCAAAAGATATCTATCGGTTTACCGTGTACGGTAAACGCGAGGTGTCATATCTTGACTTACATAGGCTATAGAGATTATAGTTCTTAATGAATGATCAAAATGACTCTTATGAAGTTCCGTAGCCCCTTATCGTATTTTATTTCTGCCTCGTGGCAATCTCTCCTCATAACTTCGTTGCTGATTCTTGACAAACATTAGGAGTACTGCGAAAGTTCTTTCTTTCATAAATTCCGGTCTCGGATACTTGGAATTTACAACTCGAAGTTATGAGCCGTAACCTTCAACATCTGACAAGCTCAGGATAGATTAGTGCAGGTGATTTTTTTAAACTTCTGAGGCAGCTTGCTGTAATTTTCGTAGCGGAAAGCATTAACTCCAGTGGTGCAGCATCTCCTTAGACTTAGTGCCTTAAGGCATTTGTTTAGAAAGTCTAATTTAGAAACTGCTTTCAGCTTACATGTACATCTCATAGCAAACAACAAGTTAGAAAATCCCCCTTCACCACCCCTAACCTCCATACAACATAAGTTAACCAACGGCTGTATTTGAAACATTACCCGAAACTTTTGGGACAGGTTGAACGGAAATATGAACATAAATAATATGGACTACAAAATAGCTTAACTCACCTTCGCCAACTCTTAAAAAATCAGATCATTTGACTATTCGTTAGTACCGCCGTCATCGTTACTACATAACTGATACATATTCGACCTTTGCGGCTTCGGAGCTATCATGTGTACCTTCTGTATCATCATGTATGTAGTTTATACATCTGATATGGAATTGAATAATTAGTGCTACACTCGCACTACACTCGCACTACATTGTCCAGTAGACCGTAAACTTTTATGTAATACAGTCACATTATTTTGGCTTTGAACGCATGTGTTAAAGTGCACCAACATAATAATTATCTATGCACCTAGGACTTCACAAGCTTGTGCGTGGTCTTCAATAATCATCCAATCTAATGTTAATCTTGCAGTGATAAATTGAAAATGGAAACTCGTAATCATATATATGTATTCCTCAAAAGATAAAATTAAGTGATGCTCAAACTCATGATGAATAAATCCATAAATGAGTATCTTGAGTTGAGGGTAAAGTTGTTAGAGTTTAACGTCCCATAATAGCCGTTATGGCTTACAAGTTGGATTACGCTTCCCTATAGTACTCGGTTTTTGGATCCTAATACATGTACAATTTACAACCTAAATCTTCCTGTTTCATGGTGACTCAGCCATCCATTGATGGAATCCAAACTCTTCAATGCCCCCCATTCGTCAAGAAATCAAACTGGAATAATTTTGCGGCTGCCGTCGCGTCAATGGAAATTACTCAGCAATGCCGGAAAAATAAAATTGGAAAAAAAATAACAAAGCCTTTAAATTCTGCACAATACAGATATGAATGTTAAGGTTTGAACAAGCGCGTCTCTTTGCGTCTAAGGAGGATTGATCAGGTATTGTTGTTTTTTCGTTGCATGTATTAGTTGTATAAACTCGTCATCTAATTCGCAAACCATCATGTAAGCACACGGAAACACACTTCCAAGCTCCAAGAAGAAGCAAAACGACAAAACCTGAGTTAATACTGCTTCGATCATACATATCACGGCTTAATGGAAGTGGCACATAAGCATATCGAATTCTCCTCTATGTTTCGAATTATAACTTAGGCATCTTGATACTCTTATTGGTAACTCTAATTTACGTAGTGTTTACCTTAATTACCAGAGGTTATTGCAAGAACTCTGAATAAATGGCTCTGCGATTCTGCATGACAACTGGCAGGGCGCTTTATAGCGCTGAGAATCAAAAAATCAACTGAAGAGTGTTTCTTAAACCACTTTAACCTGCAATCACGTATAAGGTTTGTAATTAATTTGGGAAACGGTCATACCGCGATCCCGTTGGTTGGCTCAAGCTCCCCGGTTGTTTGTACAAGATCCATGATATGAGTCAGCAACTCAAAACACTCTGCTGATCAATAGGCACTGACCACTTCACAGATGAAGTTGTAAACAGGACCAAACATCAGCTGTTGGAAGTAAACTATACCGTGGAATAATACTTATGAAGCTATTGGAATCTAACTTCGGTGTGGTTGTTATAAACCCAACTTATGTGAAATGTGTTAAACTGGTTCTATGTACGATAGTTGAAGAACACATAATTCGACGTGTTACATGAAAATACTATCAAAACATTACCCATCCTGCTTAAAAACCCCAGTTTGAAATAAGGTGGATATCGATCTCTTTAACTTCTTTCTCTTCGTTCGATACATGGGACTGAAACATGAAGTCACATGTCGGCTATGTATGGTTGTATGTCATCGTAAAATATTTCCTGTATTTCCTTCCGAATTTGTTACATTCAAGCCGAGGAATACATGATACATCAATACAGCCATGGGTGAAACCACAGAAACGAGAACTGAAATTCCGCGTGATTTCTCTATGTTGTCCCAACCGTTTCGGCTCGAGAATCTGAAGCTTCAATAGATGAAGTCCCATGGTATATGGGTTGTCTAATAGATCACATTATATAGCTATACATATGTGATTACACAGTACACAGATCGTTCATAGTTACTGGCGGGCAATAACGGCCTGTAGGTAATGGTGGGCAATGGTGGGCAATGTGGAAAGCGTACATGTGAACTGCATTGTGCGCCTTCTGAAATTTGCAGTTGATAGCATACATAAAATCTAGATCGCCTAAAATATATGCCTTCATCACTTATGTACATGACCAGGTGGTCCATGTCTCATATGAATTTCGTAACAATCGGAAAAAATGATTTTACCGTGGTTGATTTACTATTGTCATGGGAATATTTGGTTCAGCCATATTCCCAGGCAGCCTAAGGCACGCGCCTTATGCACAATGCAACATCTAAAGACCTAATGAATCGCTTTGAAACGAAGGGGCCACCCTAATAGACCTGTACAGCACACATTAAAACCGCAGTTCAACTATTAATTTGGAGGACCTAAGTTTGAGGAACCGGGATTACGTCAACAACCTGGCGTATCGAGTGGTGTGCATAATTCTTCACTGTCTCAGAATTGAGTTATGTGCCAGGAAGACTCGCTTATCGAATTTCTTTCACGTCATGTAAGTATCGTATCATTTTTTAAAGACTTGTCTCTTACCGTCATGTCGAGCCAATGACGAATCTGTTCAATCTACAGGACCTTCACATGTCTCAGAAAGGCTAATTACCCAACCGAAAGGCAGTCATCAATAATTACTAACTACCGTACGGGTATCGATATAACCCATGGTTAATGGATGGCCGAGTGTTGCTTCGCACAGTTTGGGGAAGCTCATGGGATATATGCGGCTGACAGTGTGGATACGTGTAGCTAAAAACACCCAAAGGCATCTTCTTGCACGTTTTGCTAAAGTCTGACTTATAGTTGTTGCATTGAGGAACATCGACTTGAAATTTAACCACTCACAGACTACAGCAATCACCAGCCGTGAGTCATTTCGACCTGAACCTCTGTCAGATTTGTCAACATCCCAGTTAGAGCGATAATAGAGCTCGTAAGTGTGGTGGTGTAACATATCATCGGCAAAAGCAGTGTCCACTCAAATCAAATCATGGGTCATTGAACAGCACAGATAGAGTTTTACTCGTCCTCTGCCTATGGAAAGTTAGGACTGCTGCCCTATTCATCCCATCTCTGGGCTGGGGCCACTAATCAGTGAGTGTGTAGCGTAAACGCCCATATAGATCCCAGATATGAAACAGAGCAAATACGCCAAGTCTTTTATTATGTAATATAGGTTTATAACTCATCAATATGAGAAATTTCAGCTCGTAGTTGAACACTTCGTCAGCCGTGCAGGTATTTCACAATTGGCTACTACAACTACTTCCAACGTTCAAGTGCTAGCACAAATTATTATTGCAAGGTAGAACATGTTCTTCAAAGCTTCTCAGGTAAAGCTTTATTGGGTAAATCGCGCAGTCCTATAAAGTTCTATAACTTGTGTTCCTACCACGGGACTAATAACTTCAAGTTGTTCCAGCCATGATTGATCACATACTGCAAGTCACGCTGAGCATACCTAATGATAGCCTGGGTACTATATGGAGCAGAACAGAGGGTGAACAGATCTAGGGGGCTATTAAAGGAGCCGTAATTCAAACTATGAATAGCAACCGAGGCGCTAAACGGTTTGTAAGCCATGAGAGTCTCGAGACCACCTTTGCCCGAATCATTTGGTCGCCTTCTTATGATTTAAACGAGGCTGACCACATCTCGTCGTAAATACGACTATGTTTCGTTAATGCTTATGAATAAATATGTTATGTATTTATGCACACGGCAGTAGATCCTCGCCAGGTCTACGGGAGAAATGCCTTGCGTAGGAGAGAGTTTGCTACATAGCGGGCCAAGGGAGCCGGTCAAACTCCCCATATAACCATCTGAGTTTTATACCTTAGATAGTAGCGTAACATGAGGCAGTAAACTGGGTACATGCGTAATTATACATACATACATAATTCTACATGCTCATCATCGTGTTTTGAATCCCGTCTGTATAGAGATATAAGAGAACAAACGCATTAAATGCGGATTTCTCATGTTTTAAACCGTCCACTTCGATGACGACTCCATTGTGCATAGCCCACATTGTCCAAACAAGCCCAAATTCAAAGGTACTAAAGTCATATATACGTATAACTGAACTTTACTATGCATCTGTAAGTACTAGCAATACATAGCTACTCATAGGTAGACATATTAGCCCTCAAATGGGGATTCCTGACATCCTAAATGTGTGTATACACCTTTATGAAACAAGAGACTCTTCCTGAAGAGATGATCAGCTCATTAAGTTCACAGCTAGATGGAAAAAGTTTCGGCAACAGTTAAAGGAAGGTGCCGTGAGTGTCCTCCATTCACACAAAAGGACTTGAATTGCTACAGATAGTTATGCCATCAGAGATAGCATATCATTGGGGTGTTGGTTCAAATATTCGATAATGTATTGTGGAAGCTGCCGAAACCAAGTGATGACATGACGGCAACCTTTTAGATAGTACACTTCTTGAATTTCTCACGCATTTTAAAACTGGATTATCAGTTGATCGTAACTTGAGTGCATACACAGTACTAACGTTCCAACTGGTCCACATCTCGCGTGACTCTCTTACTTGTTCGTTCTTTTTCATTTCGTTTCAGTTCGTCTCAGTTCGTTTCATTTTAGCTTCTCATAATGGATGACATCATCATCAACAAGGGCCTTCAACATTGTTCTACTTGGTTTACCCCATAGTTTTGGATCCTTGCACCGATCAATGTGGTTCAATACTTTTTCAGGACTTGAGATAGATCTCCTAGAACCTGAAGGATGGCTTGCATCTGACGCAAGCTCTTCGAAGTACTTCTTTCGCATACTCACAGAGTGTAATTGATCTTTCATATTGAGAGATTCTGTTCTTCTTGAAGGATGGGATGCTGAACCATCATTCCCTCTCTGTGGAGTCATCGGTATTCCATGATCAACTGTGTCCACTGCATGAATTGATTGTATATCACCACTGTTCAAGTCGTGGTCAGGAGTTGATTCTGTGCTGAAGTCGCCACTAGTGACGCGACTCATTACAGGCGTCTGTGGTGGGCTATTATCAGATGTCGAGTCCACAGAGCAATGGCGCGACGATGACGAACCAGCTGATGACGCTGGTGAGGATACTGAGCTCGATGCTAACTTCTTTGAAGTCTCCTTCGGCGTGAAACTAGGGAACGTTGCAACGTTCAACACCTTTTGATAAATTTGCATATACTCTGCATCCATGTCGTTTTCGACAAACATCTTAACATCACTCTTCACAATCTTCTTTTGGAATCTCCAGCTCCTCAGCAACAGTTTGAGCATCTCTGACAGCGCCTCATTCTGCAATTTCAACTTGATATCGTCCACAGCACCCGTGTCCGGGTTCCTCACTATTCTCTTCTGCTTCAACTCCTCGATGCTTGGTCTCTTCCTCAAGCTCTTGCTTAAGGAATCCCTCCGGAGGTTCTTCTCCAGCGTGGAGGCTGTCGACAGCAGCTCGGCACTCACTGTGATGTCCTTGTTCGGTATTATATGCTGCTCGTACAGCACAGTAGTATCTGGCCGCAGGCCAATTCTGCAGTTGAGCCTGTTTCTTGTGTAGTAGAACCGACACCGGCTTATAAACCTCTCGTTGGCAACCTCCTTCAAGTAATGGCACGTCTTGCTCAGACTGATGAGGTCTGGCACGTCCAGGAATATCAACACTTTGATCAACACCTCTAGTGGCAGCTCCAGCAGCCTGAACGGCTCATAATGGTTGATGGACATGTCCCCTGGGAAGTTCGTCGTAAGGTAGTCCATCTCTCTCTCTCTCTTTCGCTCTGTGTCTATCTCTTTCGTTATTCAACCTCGCGGGAGTGCTACGTGATCCAACGCTACTCTCAGCCCTCGATTTCGTTGTCTCTTATCGGTTCCCCTTCTTCTCGTTGTGTCCATAGAACTCAGAGTGACACATCAAAGTGTTGTTGGGGCTATTTTTTCAGGCTTGCGGATTTTGCCCACTTGTTGTCGTGGTTTCACCACCATGTTTTCTTTTTACCCTTTTCGGCCTGCGGGACACAACCCCTCGTCGCATGCGGATTATTTCCTCATTGGGAAGTTATTGTTGGTGTCCGGGTGTTTAGACTGGTGTCCGGGTTTACTCGTTAATCCCCTCATCGAAACCCACAAAGATCAACAGGAGCCACTCATCAACAAGAACATACCATAAACCACTTGAGCGAAAAGGCCTGATGTCGTTACGCTCTGTCAGACCATCGCTGGTGAATGTGCTCTCGAGGAGCTACACGGTGGAGCAGCAACGGTGCTATGCACTGCTGTGGAACCCGTTCAAGAAGTCTGCCGTGATTGATAAGTCTGGCACTGGTGTTGGTGACGGGCAGAATGGTGTGGTGTCTCCTGAGCTGGTGGAATTGAGACAACGAGTGAGGTGCTCGAATGATTCTGTGGCTCTCGGTGAGGTGCTAAGGGCCCTGCGTCCTCTTGTTGACGGAAGTGGTGAGACTTTCATCACGATGAGTGACGTTATAAAGAAGCTGGACAAGGTGTCTGCCCAGCGAGACACTGCTGATGGCGAGGTTGTTGGTGATGACAAAGCGGTGATGATTCCTGGGCTGAGTGTGGAGGAATGCTATGATCTGTACTGCTCTGTGATTGACTGTATCTCGAGGGACAATTACAAGAGCGCGAGGTTTATTCCTCGCTTGTACTTACAGCTCGCCAGTCGTTATGAGAAGATGGGCGATGAGTTAATGTTGAGCAGTGTCTTCGGCAAGTTTGTGCAATACCTGTTGAAGCTGGGGTTTGAAGACCAAGTCCTGAAAGTTGTGAAGAGCTTCAGTGGCAAAGATGCTATTTCGCAATCAAAACTCGTGGAGTCGTTGGTTGACGTTTTGGCCAGCTCAGATGACATCATCCATCCAACAATCATCTCATCTCTGATTACAATCTTACCTGATTCCAAGCTCGTTGAAATTGGTGTTTCCAAGACTGCTGATTTTCTCAGGTCTAAGGAGAAATCCCTCTTCCCTATAGAAAAGAAAGACATGGAGGGAATACAACATATTGTTGATTGGGTTTCCATCTCATCTGAGATGAATGATAATATGGTGCTGAATACTTTACAGATCTGTTCCATGATGGACGGTTTAGTCTCAACTGAGGAAGAATCCTTGCTCAAATTGTTGCAAGCGTACAAGACAACCTCAGAGGAAGTGGCGTTGGCAATCACGTCGAGAGCTATGACACACACGCTCTTGCCTATAGATGCACAGCTTTGGATAAAACAGATGGAACCATTTGCTAGACTGAAGCTTGTTTGGGATATCTATCTAAATGGTTTCGATCAGTATAAGATACCACAAGAACTTATCGATCAATCGACATTGAACTTGGCTGTATTAGCCACTATAAACTCCAAAAGAGAAGAATTGCCAAAAGTGCTGGAGTTTTTCTCTTCAAATGACGTTGACTTCACACAGACAACGTTTGAAATACTCATGAATAAGTATATCTCCACCAAAGACTATGAATCTTTACAGCATTCCTTCACAAATTCGTTCAAAAATGGTGTTGATTGGACAGGGAACCCAATCCTCTACAGATATCTCATAACCATGGCATCTCAACCAGAAGCTGATGTGAAGGAGATCTTCCTGATTGCAAAGAAGATAAAGATCTATTTGGGATACTTGAATTCTGAAAGTTACAATGCATTGATGAAATTGATCTTACAGAATGAGTTCATACAGGATGCCGTTGTTTCGTTCAAGGAAGAACTACCACCTCTGGATGAAGGTGCTAAATATACCCAAGCACAATACCCATCCTTATACGATACCATTTTACAGTGGTGTGTCAGCGAGGCAACGTATCCGGAGGATATCCACAAGCTGTACACAGAATTTGCAAAGAAGTTTGTCATTCCCTTGGACTTTTATCAACCTTTAATCATGAGGCTTACGGCACTACATAGACCAGATTTCGCATTTGAAATATTTCAAGATATGAAGAGGATGCACAGAACTACTGGGTCAATACCACCACCTCCTCCAGAGGTTTATATACACTTGTTCAAATCCTTTGGTCGTGATCTCTATACCGATGGAGTTGAAACGTTAGATGCCATTTACAAAACAGACCTTACTATTAACACGTCTGTTCCACTCTTGAACTCGATCCTGGATGCATACGCAAGCTTACAAGACTTTACCAAAGTCTCGCAGACTTACAACAAGATCCTAAGACATCCCCAAGGTCCTGATAACGAAACTGTTAGCATCATGCTAAAGGCACAGACTTTCCTCTCTTTGGATAACGTAAGAGAATTCTGGAATAACCTGGATGATATTGGAGTATTACCAAATGAGGATAACTACAAACGCTACATCATTGCTCACTGTTACCATGGAGAGGACAAATTGGCCATTGACGTTGCAAAGTCGATGGAAGATATGGATGTCGATGTGAATGAAAACATCGTAAAGACTCTTTATGAGTGGAGTGAAGACAAGGATAATGTTGAAGAATGGGCAAAAGAGGAACATGAAGGAATATGGAACGCAGTTGGCGATGAATGTAAGAGTCTTGTTGTTGTCGATAAAGCAGATGAGGCTCCTGAGCCTGGAATGACCGTTGATGAACTTCGACTTGTAAGGTCATGATTACTACAAACAAACGAACTTGGAAACAAAAACAGAAAAAAACATCTTGTGCATAACTTATTTATCTCTTGTTAATTATTATTATTTATATACTTCTTGAGATGGTCAAATGCTCTCTTTCTCCGCGGAGTAGAAGGCAGCATCTATCTTATCTGTATCCTCGCCTGTTCCTTCGATGGTTGGAGTGGCTTCAACGGTGCTTCTTGGTCCCTTGAAGGTCTTGTGGGCGTAGGCGTAATAGTAAGCCATTGAAAGAATCCATGTACCACCTGTTATGACAATCGTATAGTTCATCGTCTCTTTATCCACAGTTGGCTCCGATGGGAACATTGCCATTATAATGACGAATACTGTGAAGAAAATGGAGAGGATGTTGACAATTGGCGAAAGGATATCACCTAAGTAGAAAGGGCCTGGTTTGAAACGTACTGATTCATCCTTTGACCATTGACGATACATTCTGAGGATAATTGGGGATTGCCATGCGAAGTAATTACCACACACTGTTAAAGTGAACACAGCGTTAGCTGCAGTGTCGTTAATCAAGCATAAGAGGCCAATGATCAGCGCCAAAGTACCAGAGAAGACAATTGCTCTAATTGGAACCTTCAACTTTGAATTAACCACTTTGATTATAGAGGAGAATGGGAGTCCGTTATCACGAGCAAAAGCCCAAGCTTGACGAGATGTTGCTGTGATAATGGATGCGCCCATAAGCCATTGGCAGTAGCAAATCATAACCATGAAAGCGATGGCCCAATGTTTACCCAAAGAATCGTAGATCAACTGTGCCATTGGTTGACCAGAATCTGTATCAATGACACTTGCCAAATCCGGGTTGATGCAGAAGGAGCAAACCATGATGATTAACCAACCAAGAATACCAGTGGCAGCGATGGATCCCATGATTCCGATTGGAACGTTCTTTGTTGCGTCGTACGCTTCCTCTGACATATGAACACAAGAGTCGAATGCCCCAATGGTCCACACAGCAGGCATCAATCCGTTCATGACCCAGGACCAACCTGTATTCCAGTCACTCAAGTTTTCTATTGTTCCAAAGACAAACTTGGCATCGTTCTTCTTGTCAGTTCCAATCAGCATTGTAAAGATGAACAGCACAACCAGGGCAACATTACAAATCACGGAGAGAGACTGTAATTTGGCAATACCATATGATGCAATACATGCCGTTGCAATGTGTGAAACGATACATGCAGCATACACACCATAGACAATACCCCTGGTGATGTTGAAATCGCCATCTTTGGCGATATACACGATGGATAACAGCTCCTTGGCGAACCCATAATCGATGGAACACAGCCCACTGGCCAAGGCAATGGTGTTGGTGTTGCCCACCAAGAACGAAACTGGGATACGGATTGAGTCTGGTGCGTAGTGATAAGTCCAGTAGTACAACCCACCAGCAGTTGGGATTGCAGAGGCCAATTCACTCATACAAACACCAACGCAAAAGATTAAACAAGAGGCAATGGTCCACCCCCATATACTTGCGTTATTCACCGTGTAGATCTGGCCCATGACACTTGCAATGGAGGGAAGCACAGACATGATCGAGAAGGCAACACCAATCATGTTGAACGGACCAAACTGACGAACCAGCTCGTGTTTGTAACCAGCCAAAGCGAGCAATTCATCATCATTGAGCTTCTTGTCCTGTGCAAGACGTGCATCTATTGGCACGTGAGAATGGACGTCACGAATAGCGGATCTCTGTGCATCCAAATCTGTATTTAAGCAGTTTGAAGCTATGGATCTCAAATCTGCTGATAACACTGCAGTGAGCTTTGTCATTGTATGATGCCAGCTAGATGTACGTTGTGGCTTATAGAGTCGACTGTACAACAGTATGCCACACTATACACACAAGCCATAGCTATGGAGGAGGTTGGGACTGAGCAGTCAATTTATACACATCCCAAAGGCACACCCATATCTAATCGCACCGTATCTGGAGGCAAACGTTGATGTGGAGTGCTTTTATCTGTGCATCGCTCAGCACAGACGTGTAGATACACACTCGATAAGCTGTAAGCTTCAGCTGTACGCTTCAGCTGATGCCTACAACCGACGGAAAACGCCAGCTCCTGCACAGCAAAACAGCACACACGCTCTCTTCACCGCAACGAATCCCAAGGCATCTTTCATATCAGCGCAGATCAGCCCAATTTGGAAAAAGGCCGCCAAAGAAAGAGCTCCCCGTGAAGCCGTTTATGTTCTTTGGATGATACGATGCGGATTACATAATCATACCAAGACATACTTCAGAGCCGGGCCGCAGGTGACATGTTTCTTGGCTGCTTTTCCAACGGTTCCGGATGCTTTCCTGTGCTGTGATTGGTCAGTTTCTCCCGTGTCTCAAGCTACTGTATCCAGTTCTGTTGAGATACGAGTTGTTTGGCTTGTTTAACGTCAATTATGGCACAGAAGCTCTCATTTTGGCCTAAAAGAGACGGTTGCGAGGCTTTGAGGTGTTTTCTGCATCATGTGCTAGTTGCGCTGGTTTGGGGAGGCCTCTCGCGCACTTCTTTCCCTATTTGTCAATCTCCCGCTAGAGCCATCCGTACACACCCACAGAGCGTGTGTAGATGTTGCAGAGTAGGGTGAGATTAAGGGTTCCGGTGGTTGAAGCTTCGGTGTTTGGAGGGACCAGAAGAGAAATCACGTCATTTGTAATTTGCCATGGTGTTGTGCAGAGGGTATTTTGCCGGTTTCCTTGTTTCATGTCTTTCTCTGTAATCCAGTATTGTTGACCTTTGTAGCGAACCTCAACGAGTTTATGGTCTCACTGATGTGCTTCTCTAACGGGGAAACGTTCACGAACATTAGCGTCTTTGAATCCTCCATCAGCGAGTATTGTAGAAGATACGTCAATTTGGAGTTTCTAAAGGGAACATGTTTAGAGCTTTCATCGCCAAGTGCATGTATAACATCCCCAAGACAGCTGAGCGATTTGTTGATGGCCTGGGTCTCCTTTAGCCTGTCACCGACAACTTGAGATTGTGCTATGCGCTCTGAGCCAGCAAGGTCGATCAAATTCAACACACTGGAATAACTCTCTTGTGTTGTTGGGTTTGTCACTTCAATGCGGATGATACAAACGGTATGGGACCTCGATGACCTCTCGTTGGACTTTGTCGTGGCAATGGACCTGTTGTCAAGTGCCCTGTGTAAAGTCTTGTTCATGTCTTCTGGTGATTCGAACTGTATTCTCGTCAAGTTTGTGATATACGTGGTTTTACTCTGTTGATCATGTTTAATCTCATGCTTCTGTTCAGAGCCGTTGATCAAGTCCATAATGGTCTCGTTATAAATTTGTAAAAATTCACCAAAGATCTTGAACTTATAATCTCTTGTTCGTAACTTATCACAAGTTTCAAATATCTGGTTCACCGTTAAGGGAATAATACCGTCTTCACTAGACATGGTATATGTCTTACCCGAACCTGTCTGTCCATAAGCAAAGATACAAACGTTAAACCCATAAAGTGCGCTTTGGACCAATTGAGAAATCTCTTCAAAGATCTCCTGGTTTGTTGATGACTGTTGAAACACTTTGTCAAAGTTGAAATGATGTCTCTTGATCTCACCGTTGGATGACGCCCTCGCTTTACTGTCCTCGATATAGATCTCTTGCTTTACTTCATCATTATCTGGAACTTGGACTCTGAGCATTGATTCATTGGATTCGAATGGTAGCATGGGTCTTATGCGACAAAACACCCTAATATTTCCCTTCAACTCTTGAAGCTTATTATGAGCTTTACGTCTTTTCTCTTCTTCCAATAGCAATGCATCTTCATATTTTTTCGTCTGTGTCTTTTCAACTTCCAGGTCAGTCTTAAGCTTGGAAATATTCTCATTGGTTAAATGAATATATTTTTGCATCTCTGAGTATTTCATCTCCAGTTCCTTCAAATCCGCTGACCGTTGTGAGTTTTGGAGCTTATTGGTATCCAGTTCTTGACTCTTGGAGTCCTCCTCCTGCTTAAGCTCCAACAATTTATTCTTTAACACTTCAATCTCCATTTCTACTTTTCCCAGTTCAGTATCTAAGGACTTTTCCTCTTCCTCCAATTCTTCAAGATCTTTAGCCATGAAAGAACGCACTTCGTTTTCTTTCCTCTTCATATCGTCAACCAACTCCTTTAAGCTCTGTTCTAGCTTTGCAGAGTCAGAATCCACATCCTCATTCATATCTTTCACCTGCTGTTGAAAATACAACTTCTCCTCTTGGATTTTGCCAACTTTATCAGCCAATATCCTTTCAATCTCTGTTTTGTATAACTTTTCCAAGTTGTACATAGCAGTGTCGTTTTGGAGCTTCATCTCCTTGTACTTCAGCTCATAATGGCGTTCAGCATCTTTCTTGTTATTCACAGAGTCGGTCTTTAAAGAGTCCATTCTATTGGTCAATATCTTTAGATCCCTTTGTTTGTCCACAAGGTCCTCTTCAAGAGTCTGGTGTTGAACTTCAAACCTCTGGACCGTCGTTCTTAGCGTCATTGTCTCCCCTTTTATGGAGGACAAAAGTGACTCCTTCTGTTCAATCTCATCTTTCAGCGCCTGTAACTCCTCGCGACTGCTCATCCTCAGAGGATTGGATCTCCCCATCGGAGATGCCCTTGGAGATGGAACACCAGCTTCACCATCTCTCGGAGACTTGTAACCGTATAACGTCATGTGTGACTGGGACTTCGTGGGTGTTGTGTGCGGCCTTGGAATACTCGAAGGTTTAGGTATGCTCTCGTCACTCATCTTTGGGATCCCTTCCGTTACAAGCAGTTGAAGGAGGTTGAGTAAGTATCAAGTATGTTTTAGATGTTTGTTGATGTTACAGCGAAATGTAAACAAATAAACAAAGCTTACGTAATCAATTATGTTATAATAATATAATTATTATTATATTATTATTATTATTATCGATTATGTAATTGTGTCTCCTTTGCTTATGTAATCATATGCTGTGGAAATTTTTCCAAGCGCTATAGCATTTATGTCTCAATCATAAAGCTCATCTCATCTCATCTCACACTTCAAAATAGTCGATTGATTGTTCAAGATGTCTAAGAAAACAGTCACAGTGTCTCTCCCTTCAAAGGACTCTAAGGCTCCTCTCACTTCAAAGCGTACGAGGGAGCTGGATGAAGTTGCCTCCAGCGACGAAGAAGAAGGTGTGTCGGACGATAGCGATGACCTTGACGATGAGATGGATTTGGATGCTGTTTCTTCAGAAGGTGAGGTGGAATCAAGTGATGATGATGGAAACGATGATGATGATAGTGAAAGAGATGAGGATATCCCAAAGTTGAAAAAGAGAAAGAAAGCCACCGATGATGGATCCTCATCGTTTGCGAGTGCAGTGAATGCCATCTTGGGCTCAAAGCTGAAGAAATATGATCGTGAAGACCCAATATTTGCACGTTCGAAAGTTACCATAAAGAAGGCAGAGAGTGAGAAACTGGAGGCAAAGGCAAGAAGAGAATTGCTTGCTGAGAAGAAGAAGATCTATGATAAGGATAGAGTCAGAGATCTCCTGCCAAAGGATGATTCAAATGCCAGAGCCATTTTGGAACATGAGAAGAAGTTGAAGAAAATCGCACAAAGAGGTGTTGTTCGTCTGTTCAACGTGATAATGACGACTCAAAATAGAACCAGCTCTGAGGTATCACAGACTAAAGTCTTGGATGGTGAAAAGAAAGAGAAACTGATCAGTGAAATTTCAAAGGAGAAGTTCTTCGATCTGGTCAAGGCTGCTGGTGATAGTTAAATCTATGTTAACTTCGGATGTTTTGAAATAATAGTATTAGTAAAGTTATGTACAAGTCTTAATCATCTTTCTCTGGTAATCCGTGGAGTCTTCTGATGGCCCAATTCAACCCGTTAAATCTAACCTCTGGATCGCTCTTACCTTCAGTCTTTGTAAACTGCCTCCACCATTTGGGGTCGCTAAATCTCGTATCCTCTTCTGGGAATCCAATCTCACGTCTTATACGTGCAACCTGTTGTCTCAGTTCGTTGGCCAATCGTGATCTCAACTCCTGAGCCTTTTCGCCAAATCTCAACTCCTGAGTGAGGTCCTTTCCGTCCCCGTATTTCTTGACCAATGCGAGCCATTCCTCCCTGTACTTGTGAATAACTTCGTCGTCAATGGCCTTGGAGATATACATGTGGACCTCTGCACCGATATTGGACGGTAAAAACCGATTCATGACTCCTTCATCTTCAGCTTCAGGTGCAATCTTTTCAAAGCCGTGTGCAAACATTGGAACGATCACCGGCTGTCTTGTGGATTCCAGGATAATACGGGTGATACCCCAATGGAAGTATCTCATGGAATTGGCAAAAGGGGCCTGGAGTTGAAGAACAAAGCCCTCTGGAAAAACGTGCAACCAAGAAGGTTTTGACCTTATCATCGGAGACAAGTAGTTCTGCTTCACTTTGTGGAACACTTCCTTCTCATTCAACCAGACCTTATCAGTAGTTGAAGAACCGTCGTAGATCAAGTCCAGTGTATCATCTGGACTCATCACTCTAATTGCAGCATCGATACAACCTTGGAAAGGAGAGCCACCTAACCTTTCAGTTCCAAAGATCTTCCCCAATGAGAAGAAATAACTCGAAGCCTTGTTGGCAAAGCACAGATTGCTAGCAGCTAACCCCCATCTAATGTCATCCAAATCGGTAAAGAACCTCCACGGTAAGAACCCCCACATAAACGGATCATCAACCACGGACATATGGTTCATCACAGTCACAAGACCCCTATTCTCTTCACGTGCTTTTGATAATGCCCTGTCCAAGTTCTCCAGCCCGTGGAGATGTGGTTCATAGAACAAGTTCAACACGGTCTTGGAGAACCCAACCACGGCCATACACGTGGCTTGAGAAGCCCAATTCCACCACACGGACCTTCTTGGAAGGTCCGACAAGACATCATCACCACGCTCCAGTACCTGTGGAAGTGACATTTGGCTCTACTCTTTCTCCTTGATCGGGTCCTCTTAATGTCTAATGGAGCAACTCGTAGGAAAAACATCATCTGGATAAATGTCCAACATACTCATAAAAAGTTTTCTCGGGAGTGCCTCGCAACGCTGTGTGTGCATACGCATGGACATAATTGACGAGGAAACGGGTATTAAATCACGATCTCGGTATAATTCGACGAATTTGTATGTGTTATGGGCCTATGTGTGGATACTGCTGGTGTGAGTACTTGAACGTTTTCAGAAGAATGTGTATTAGCTGTCTTGTGCCTTGTCTGAGTAGTGAAAGTCCGAGCACTTAGGAGCCGACCCCAGGTTTCATTGATTCTGGTGCTATGTATC